AATCCTCCTCTTTTTGCTGAGGAAGACCGGCTCTGAGCTAACATCTACTGCCAATCCTCCTCTATTGCCAATCCTCCTTTTTTTTTTTTCTCCCCAAAGCCCCAGTACATAGTTGTATGTCATAGTTGCACATCCTTCTAGTTGCTGTATGTGGGACGCCGCCTCAGCATGGCCGGAGAAGTGGTGTGTTGGTGCGCGCCTGGGATCCGAACCCAGGCCGCCAGTAGCTGAGCTCGAGCACTTAACCGCTAAGCCACGGGGCCGGCCCAACCTTTGCCTTATTTTTAATGCAAAGATCTCACCAGGAGGAGCTGAGGCCTTATGATGTGGAAGCATGTTCTCCAACTGAGCCTGTGCAAGCAAATACCCCCGCCTCTCCCTTTTGAATATTCATTCCCAAACTGAAATAAAGGTTCCTGCTTCCCTTGGTTCAGGGACACCTTGACTTTGGAAATGATTCCTCATGGCCTCCTATTTGCTGCAAATACAATTTACTTTGTGAGACAACTTCCACTGCTGTAGAGTCTTAGGTAACTCACCAGGAGGCAGCCCACTTGGTTCGGTATCACTCGCACATTCGAGCACCTGCAGAAGCACGTGCTCTCCCCTCCCTTCTGTCTTCACGTAAACGGCGGCCACTCTGGACGCCACTCTGCTTCCTGCTTTCGTCACTGAACAGGCAGCCGGGAGGCTGTCTCCCGCCTCACGGGCCGTGGGTCCACAGAGCATTCCAGCGCGTCAGATACTCGCACAAACCTGACGGGCTCCCACTGATGACCACTAACGTGTTTGCATTCTTCTTCAATTACCACCAACGGTGCATGAACTCTCGTTCACTTACTCACACTGCACATGTACAAGGATACATTTCTGGAAGTTGAATAAGTCAAACCACAATCTTCTAAAGACAGTGCCCGAGTTGGCCTCCCGCCAGACAGCACAGGGGCACCTGCTTCTCTGAGATACCAGAGCCTCTTACTTTGTCCTCCATACTTATTTTGTATCAGTTTTTTCCAGACCAATCTCTCACTTCCCAAAAGTTTTAACCTAGGACCATAAGATATGTATAGTCTCAATTTTACATTCTTTTCCTTCTAAAGAGGAGAGGGAACAGGCACAGTAATTAAGACCATAATTTCCAGAGCTAGACCTTTTGTGTGTGCAGTTTGGCTTGGCTTTTATTTATTAGCTGTGTGACCTTGGACAAGTCACTTAACCTCTCTGTGCCTCAGTTTCTTTTCCTATAAAAGAGAGGAAATACTGATATTGCTTGTTATGGTTTTAATAAGGATTAATAAAGATAATATTTATAAAGTGCTCAGAACATGCCTGGCACATAGAAATTGCTACATGAGTATTAAGTAAATGAAATGGAAACTCTGAAAAAAGAAATCCCCTCCATGTTAGCTACTGGCATCTTGCTGCCTCCTCTCCCAGTCTTGTTCCCAAGTTACCGCAGGCATGGTTGACCTGCCCAGCTTTCTCCCCTCCTTCTCGGGGAACCCCCTCCCTTGCTCTAGTGAATCTCTGGAGACAACACAGGCACGTGGCTCCAAGGTCCAGTAACAGCCTCCGGGGGCTTCTGGGGACAGGCTGGAACGGTGTGACCCTAGGGCTGTTCCCAGCAGTGCCCTCCACCCACTGCAGGAGTGGAGGGGCTGCCACCCCGAGAAGCAGAGCTCAAGTGTGCAGGAACTCGGGCGGGAGACAGGGAGAGAGCTGTGGGCCCCTGAGACGGGCTGTCTCTGAAGCCGATGCCTCGAAGTTACTGAGCCAGGAAATTCTGTCTCTGGACTTCCCCCTCCCTCCAGGTTTCAGGACTTTGATTTGGGTTTGCCGCTTGCAACAAAAACTGTCTTGACTAACGTGTGTCTTTTCCTGAGGAAGCCAAAAATTATTCTCCCGTCGACGTGAGGTCTGAGTCAGCCCTGGAGACACTCACGGTCACAGACAAGTCTGCACGTGTCTGTTCCGGGGGGGGAGGGGCAGCCAGAGGGTAGAGAGGGTGGGCGCCCAGGCTGGAGCTGACCTCTGGTGCCTTGGGAAGAAAAGAGGCGGCGGGACCCGCCCTCCCGAGTTCACACCGGCACCCCCATCCCAGTCACCAGGGCCCCCTCTGGAAGCCCTCCACTCCAAATGGGCTTGGGGTTCCCGGTCCACCGCCAGGCAGGCGGGAGTGGATGAATGGGGGGATCCCACCGACTAACGCTTTTAACCTTTCCCCACAATTAAATGGTGTCCACTGTCACACGGAAATAAGACCCTGATTATTTAACTCATAAAATTGAGGAGGGGAGAGGCTGTTTCCATTTTCACCAACAAAGCTAACGCTGCCAGTTGGTCATAAACAAACTAAATTGGTGTTTTCCAGACTGAGATCCACAGTCTCATACCAGTAATTATTAATAGTCAATAATACAATGTAACAGTGTGCAAACCCACTAGTGGTTGAAGAAATACAAAGCAAAACAAGAATGAGATACTATTTTCTAACATATTGACAAAGTTGGAAAAAAATAACTTCCGGTGTTGTTGGGAATGTGGTGAAACAGGGACTCTTCCGGGAGCTGGAATAAACATTCGCAGCCTTTTTTGGAGGACATATAACAACAAAAACCGTGCTGGCCCTCTGCCTGGAGCATCCCCGCCCCCGTTGTCTGATCTCAGGGTCCAGGCCAAGGTCAGAGCCTCTGGGAACTCTGACCGCCCTCACAGGCCCCTCTCAATGGCTTCCCTGCTCCCAGTCTCCATGTTTGTTTATTTCTCTCTCTCCCTACGACACTGTAAACTTGCTGGGAGTGAGGACCTTGCCTTATAAATCTTTCTATCCTCCAAACCTAGCACAGTGCCTGGTACCCAGCAAGTGCTAGAGAGAAAGCTTTTCAATTTTATGCTGCTTAAGAATAGTTTAAAGTGAATAATTTGTTTCAGCAGAAGGGGACAACAGTAGCTTAATATATATATATATATATATATTTTTTTTTTTTCATATCTACCTATTTAATTTTAGAAGAGAAGAAAACTAGGAACAAAGAATTTCTTGATAGATTCTTTTGGTCAGCTATAAATCCATGTTATGTTTCACATCTTGCTTCTCTGCTAATATCAATATCATATTCTTCACTAACTACAAAATAATAAATATTGAGAAGTAATTAATTAAATATAATTTAGCTACCATTTTATTCACAGTAGATGTAATTTTCATGCTTTATCATTTCTAAAATCAGGACGCTCCTTACAACCAATAGTGTCTTCCATCAGAGTTAGCAGTGTTTTCCCTCTTAGGGGATGTAACATGATGTTGAGTCTCAGAGATGACGGCATCTCAGGCTCAGGGGAAAAGCTTGATATTTAAAGCAAATCACTTGCTTTCAGTGAGTGGAGGTTGATAACATGATAACACAACTTCCCAATTCCATTGCTAGGGCTGGAATGGAATTCCGTTATTGCTAGGGAATAATGGTGAAGAGATATTCTGCATCTATGCCCAGGCCTAGTGCAGACTTCCTCACTGCAGCAACAGAACTCCAATGTTTACTCCTTACGTTACAGTGGCCACAGGTGGAACCTGGGGTAGTGATGACAGAGAGGGCCTCAAACACACTTCACTCAGCCCCTCCAATCTTCTCTCCCTTCTCAACATCAACCCTCTAAGGAGCAATGAGTTCAGACAGTGGTGCCCCACGGTGTGGAAAGTACCTGGGAAATTTCCTGACTAATTTCTGCCCAAATAAAAAGCCTGTTTCTGAGACCTGATACTGTTGCTAATCCACAAATATAAAAAATGTCCTTATGAATGACACATTTTCAATATGCAAAATGTCTACCAGCAACACAAACAAAATCAAGATGATGTGTATCAAACATAATGGAATTTTCATG